ACATTTATCATTTACAATTGAAACAAAAGAGTGAGTTTTTTGTAAAACGTCTCTTTACAAAGAAAACAAAAAGAGAGGGTATTCCCTAGAAACACACGTATAAACTATTTATTAGTCGCTGCTTGCATGAGATCTTTGCCTGTGTCAGGGATACTTTGATCCGTGAACCGTTGATTCAATAATCCGGGTTGATCATGAAGAAGGCTTTGATGTTTTATTTTAGAACAAGAACAAAAATGGATATCTCAGCAAGGTAAGATAAACACTCTTCCTAATATCAAATCGATGTTTGAGATCGGGGGAACGCCGAAGGCCTTTGAGATCTATCAAAAAAAATAATGAAGAACTCTCTCTTTATGATAGAAGTTCGCCAAAATCACCGTCTCTCTCTCTCTCTCTCTCAAATTCGTGGGTACTTGCTCTCAGATCTACCTAAAACCTCCATACTCGCCAGTCCCTTTCTCCTCATGCATATGGGCGCCAGGAGGGTGTTATAGCCCTTGGAAGCCGTTATTGAAGATAAGAATTCGAAACCAACCGTGATTTGGATGGATTTTTTAGTTTGTAATAGCCTCTCCGTGTTTATAGATGTTCCCAAGCAGTTATGGAGCCACGTGGATCGCATGAAACTCAAGAAAACCGTAAAAAATGTGTCACACTATCTCACAATGGCCGAGATAGTGTTTCCTGTCTCGCAGGCTGAGACACTCTACACTGTCTCTGCCTACGAGATAGTGTATACTATCTCGCCAGTTATGAGACAGCTTCGAGTCCGTCATTTTGTCGTTTTGCGCGCTTCTTCACTTCTTCTTGCATCAGATGATCTTCCGTAACTTAGATGACAATGTTCTTCATATTCTCTTTGTCTTGAGCTGTGTTTAGGGCTTTATAGGTAATTTTTGATGCTTATAAAGAGTGCCCGAGTCAAATAGAGGACATCGAAGAAGAACACTTTGAAAATTAATGAGACACAGAAAGCCAAATCCTAAGTATGCTAATGCTACTATTATGGAAGATGTGAAGGATCCATCTAGCTTTGATGAAATATACGAAATTGTTGAATGGGGATGAGCAATGGAGGAAGAAATTCAAGCTCTACAGCAGAACCAAACTTGGGAGTTGGTGCTGAAGTCCAAAGATGTCAAACCTATCTCCAGCAAATGGGTTTACAAAGTCAAGACTCGACCGGATGGGTCAATTGAGAGATACAAAGCACGCTTGATCGCTTGAGGATTCTCTCAACATTATGGACTGGATTATGACGAGACATTCAGTCTAGTTGCTAAGATAACAACAGTTCAAATTCTGCTAGCTCTAGCAACCAGCAAGAGTTAGACGCTTTCGCAGATGGATGTGAAGAACGCATTTCTACACGGTGAGGTGGATCGAGAGATTTACATGGAGCAAACCATCATATTTGAGAGCAAGGAAAAGGAAATATATGTTTGCAAACTAAAGAAAGCTCTCTACGGACTGAAGCAAGCTCCGAGAGCTTGGTATGGAAAGATTGATGAGTTTTTAATTCATAGTGGATACTCTCTTGCTCCTACATATTCTAATTTATTTGTCAAATAGACTGGCAATAGGGTAGCAACCATGTTAGTCAATGTGGATGACTTAATCCTAACTGGAGATGATGAAGCGGAAATCCAAAGAACGAGGACAATTCTCTCGGTCAGGTTTCAAATGAAGGATCTTGGGGAGTTCAAACATTTCCTCGGATTGGAGGTTGGCCAAAGGAAGGATGGATTATTCCTTTGCTAAGAAAAATATGCGAAGGACATGCTGCTCAAGTATGGGATGTTTAACTGCAAGTCAATCTCAACAGCGATGGAGACAAATTTGAGACTGTGTGCACATGAAGGAAAAGATTTGGAAGATCCAACTATGTATCGACAACTAGTTGGAAGATAGATCTATTTAATAATGACAAGACAAAATATTTCATTTGCAGTTGGTGTGATGAGCCGATATATGTAGAAGCCAAAGAAGTCTCACTTAAGCAATCCGAAGGATCCTAAGGTACATCAAGGTACATTTTAACTATGGTCTCATGTATAAGAAAGGAGAAGAATATGAGTTCTATGGCTATTGTGATGCTGACTATGTTGGAGATTATGACAATCGAAGATCTACTACCGAATACGTGCTTAGTCGGAGTTCAGTGGCTATATCTTGGTGCAACAAAAGATAATCAACGGTGTCACTATTAACTACAGAGGCGGGGTGTAGATCAATAGTGATAGCAGCTCAGGAAAGCACATGGTTTTTTCAATTAATGAGAGATCTACATCAGTCCGTAGACTATTCAGTAGCTTTACATTGTGATAATCAGTTTGTAATACGATTGGCAGATAATCCAGCTTTTCATGCTAGGACGAAACACATTGAAGTACATCATCACTTTTTTAGAGAGAAAATTCTTCAAGAGGAGATCGTAATGAAGCCAATCGGGACAAACAAACAAATAGCTGACATATTCACCAAAGCACTAAGTATTTCAAAGTTTACAGAATTTTGAAGTCAGCTTGGACTCATGGATAGAGAAGTTGCTACTGAGGGGGAGTGTTGATGTCAGCAGCTTCACCTAACCCCCCACCTAACTTGCTACAGTAATCACCTAACCCCTAATAGTGTATACCTACCCCATAAGAAAGCCTATATATACCCCCCTATGTTTGATTTGTAAGGCATCCTAGTAGTAGAGAGAGAGAGAGAAAGAGAGTATTTAAATTTGAGAGTATAGTGTGTTTGTACCACTAAAAAAAATAATAACAATATATTTCTTAGTGTCTATCACTCCTCTCAACTCAACAAGAGTGAAAATCACTATTTTTTATGGGCAATCTCTACATTCACGTAAGCACGCAAGTCACATAGAGTGTTTATTTGTAAAAGTAAATTAATGTTGGAAGCATAAGACTAAAGATGATGTGGCAATCATATATGTAGGCGTTAAAAAATGCCCATAGTTCCTCAAACACAGTGTAAGACAAGGAAAAGACGATAAACGTTATTATCCAAGTCAAAGGAATTCATCCA